GATCCTCCAGCATGCCATGCGGCCCCTTTTTCCTGGTGGGCCGCCCGGTCGTGGGTGTTTATGTCAGCGCGCCACCACATCCCGCTTCGCACCTTCCCTTTTGTTGTTTTCTGCCCACACGTGCCTGCGTCATTATACGATTGTTTATACTTTTATAGGTAGCCGGTATGTGCTATTATTTATAAAATCTACTATCGTAATAATAGCCTCACATTCTAGAGGAAAAGTATCCCTTTAAATTGACTATATACGTCACGAATTTTCTATTGGTAAAGCGATGTGTAAAATTTTTGTTCGCCATTTTTTTACATTAAAAGTAAGAAGCAACAGGAGCTAACGTATCGTCAAATTCCTTACCTGATAAGATTGTTTCTCACTAGTTAAAAAATCAAAAAAACCTAGGACGATTTGAGTATTTGTGTTCCGACATTGAATTGCTAATTGCTATGGGCTATGTATGAGTCACGAGTGTATGTTCACATCGAAGCAAATATAGTAAAATATAGAAAATGATGAATTGCTAGGCAATTAAGCGCATAAAGAAGTGAACAGAATACTTATATTGTAATTTTTTAATATTTACGGTGACGTAATGACTTTAACTGTCTTGGACCGTCACTAGCTTCTTTTTACACTGTGTGTCTACAAGCGTGTCTGCCACATCATGTGGCATGTTTTCTGATAAGACATGTACGCCAATTAGGACACTCATTTTACCTTCGCTGGGATCGAGTTGATATAATAGCCTTGATTTGTATACGGGGTATTTTTCGGCGATACAGGTATTTTCGCGATTTCAGACTTAAGGAAATTTCGCGAGTGTTAATTTCCGCGTTGATGATTATTATATTTTGGTTGTTTTTGGTGTTGTTTTTTCGCGGTCGGGGAGGCGTCTCACGAAATTCGACGAAAATTAACCAGCCACACAGGCACCGACCAACCGGGCCACCGAGCTCGACGCTCCCATGGCCGCCCGCCCACCGCCCACGAGACCGGACAGGGAGCATAAGGGAACACCACAGAGGAGGCGAATGGCAGCCACACCAGTGCCCGACATCACAGCAGAGCGATACGCACCCAGACCGGGAATATACAGGCTTATTACAGGTAATTCATAGCTTTTATATATCAACACGACCCTATTGATGTTAATATCGAGGTGAGCGTGTTCATAAAAAACAATCAGCTGCAACCTCTGTGTTGTGTCTCATTTGTCTATACTATTACTAAAAAATATATACAGGTGCATATATATAAACGTGTATCAGCATATTTTGCCAATTAATCTGGGCAACATTTTCCACATTTTCGCAACGCATTTTTCAGCAATATTATGATGTCATATATAATGTTATTGTAAGTAAGCAACCCAAATTAAGGAATGTACTCCGCAGTCATTATCTTAATGTACTGCCAGTATATAGTGTAGGCCATAGTATATAAATATATATACAGTGATCACTGAGAATTCATTTCGCGTGATAGGTGTATTTGCGGGTCCGCTCGCATGGTCCAGTAGGTAGGCGAATAACAGTCTAGTGTGGTCGCGAGCCGAGCGAGTTGTAGGGGTGAGAGACCGGTGTTGGTCAGGCAGGTTCAGCTCGGGCAGGCCGCATAACTGTAAGAAGCACCGTCCAACGACTTCCCGCTGAATAAAAAAAACTGCCGTAAAATAATCTATAATAAAATGATATATTATATATATAATTATCAATATATATATATTTTAGTATCAGTCTACACGTGCCATAGTCGCACAGGTGCGTGCAGTTGTTATATTCTTTGGGAAAGGTGAGTTTTATAGACATTAAACATATAGACATATAACAGACCTGTGACCCTCGGCACATGCGTGATGTAGCGGCGTCCTTCCGTCGTTCGTGTTGCACACGTTTGGTTTGGCGCCGTTATCTAGTAGCAAGATCATTGCTTCAGTGTCCCGTCTAGCGGAGTGCACGGCCAGCGGCGTTTGGCCGCGGCTGTCCAAGACGTGAAGATCGAATCCCATTGATAACAGTAGCTTCATAGTGCTGACATCCTTAGCGAGGTGCAATGCTAGACTACGCAGCTTGGGTTCGTCAGGCTTCATCCTAGATGCGTGTGTATATAACGTTCATCGCGAAACCTCACTATGATATTGAAATGTGCTTGCATGTAAAGAAAACCACGTTCGTTCTTCAACTTTCTCTCACTCTCTCTCTTGCTGAGCTATGTTGAGCAGTGTCAGCATGGGTTTGAGCGAGCTCAGGCATGTGGCAGCAAGGGCTATAGTAGCTGAGATGTCCTAGAGGGCTAGGGTGTGAGCGTGACCGTGTGATAGTGTGTAGTGTCCAACGATGTATATGCATGCCATCATGCCATCATAGATCAATAAACGTATTTCAGTTGCCAGAGTCTGCAGAGGGGATAATTATAGATCGTGGAGTTGCTTTCGACCAGTCACATACAATTGATAAACGGAAAACGAAAATCTGACTATGACTAGTTAGCTTACATGGACAGATAGATCTATAGATAATTTAGCACTGTTTGGTTACAATGATTATAATATTATATATATATATATATATATATTTATTTATTTATTTATATATATGATTTTTTAAGGAGATCATCACAATCGGGATCATGCGAGCTTTTTCATTTCAATTCTTGATCTTCCTTCTCAATTTTTAGCTCATCCTGACGTAAGTCAGATGCAGCTTGTAGAATGCGCGATGATTGTCCGTCGGCGGGGCGTCCAGTGCCGTGCGTAGCGTGCGTCAAGCAGTTTGGGCAACAAATCTTAACCGCCGCTCGACGTACGGTCACGATATTCGGGACGTGGGGGAGGGGCATCGTGAAAATGACTCGGATGATCAAGTTTGGGGGATCAGGTCAAATGGTCAAAGATGTGTAAATGGAGGGGGTAATATTTCCCTCTTATTAAGAGTATTAGGAGGAAATACGAATGGCGGCACAAATCTCAAACGGCTTGAGTTACGCTCTTAATATTCAATGTATAGTGTGATGGCAAGAAGACGACCATCACCAGTGCGAATTGGAGGTCACCAGGTCAAAGAGCAGTGGGGAAAGGTACAGATATCAGAGGCATTTTCTGGAGGAGACGTGGCCTAAACGGATCTGAGTGAAAAAATTTTTTGGTTTTAGCGGCTGAGCCTACACATTTTTATCAAGCTTTAATTGAAGACGAATGAATGTGCTTTCCACTGGACGATGTGCGAAGAGATAAAGTATCTGATAGCCTTTTGACGCCTTCAAGGAGGAGGGTTTAAACATGATTCCCTGACTGCCTCAATGATGTTCACAGTGTTCTCGAAACAGTTCCATGGCACATCTATAATCTAGACAAAGCCTAATAAGACTGGATAGCCCAACGGCTACAACACATGATTACGGCCTCAAGAGGTGCCTTGCATCGAATCCCATCAATTTTTATTATTTACCTGTTTTCTGTATTTTTTTATCTTTATCCATTTAACTATTTTTTTAGTCGCAATTAAATGCAAACTATTACTATGATTTATTCCAACATTTCATAAACAAAAAATAATTTATACAACAATTAAAGTTTTTTTTAATAATAGGGTTAGGGATCACCGGTTATGGCTCACAAATGCACGACATAAAACAGGAACGTTTCAGGCAGCGCGATTTGTATCAAAACCAATGGCGATTTGGAGGGTATGCAGAAGGTTGCTGAAATGATGTGTAGCAAACTGCGTATATCTGCACTATGCTGCACCTAACAAAGGTGTCACTACGCACGAGCTTAAATGTTACGTTTATAACGCGTAGGCAAACAGACGGCTCAGATGAACCTAGACGCTCTGCGGCTCTTGTTGATATGAGTGATGCACTATATTGATAATGACTTTTTGAAAAAACACCTGGCAGAATATTATAAGCTCACAAAAAGTTACAGTATGGCATGATCATGAAATGCCGTTATTACAGTAATCGAGGTATATGCATATAAATATGCATGTACAGACATTTTTGTCTCTTTTTAGTTAAGAAACCTGGATCCCTTCCTGATGCTTGATGAATTTTGTGTGACATGGCCAGCAGGCTTTCCTGACCACCCTCACCGAGGATTTGAAACGGTACTTGATGAAATTAATATATATAATATATATATATAAATGTTTTACAAGTTCAACAGTTTTTTATTCATTACTGATACTAGATCAGGGTGCGAATTAACGGGAGTCCGGAGTCAAATACTCCCAGATTTACTGTCGGACTCCCTGATTTGACGTATGCAAGCTAGAGTCCGTGTGACTCCCTGAAAATTCTGCAATACTACCTAGTTCGTTCCAGACGGCACGCCTCGTGAAATACCGTATTTTTCAGCTAATATCGCAAAGAAATTTGACAGACGTGCAACCGCATGATAAGCCACATGCGTTATTGTTAATATCGTTTAAATTTTGAAGCCTCAGACTGCGGACTCCCTCTTTTTGAGGGTAGGGAGTCCGTTGGACTCCCGTGTTCAAAAGTTAATTTCTACCCCTGCAGTATGTTTATTTATTTAATTATATAATAATATAAATATACCAGTATATATATATATATATATATTGATTTAGTTATATTGGTGTATACTTGCTTGCATATTTGAAATTATATTATTATGTAAAATTTTGATCTTGTTTTCTGAAAGGTAACATACATGATATCGGGTGCAACAGAACATGAAGACTTTGTAGGGCACAAAGGGGTAATAAAAGTTGGAGATGTGCAGGTGAGTGCTATTATTGTAATAATGTTTGAACTTGCCTACGTGTATAATTTTTACTTGTTACTCATAATTACTTTTTTGTGCAAATTTAGTTGAGTGTTTAGCTCCGGATGTAGAGGTGTAGTCTGATAGAGCTTTATGCATGCTATCTTCTGTGCATTTGTGCGCCTGGGTTTTCACTTGCACATCGACGATAGTAACAAATAAAATTAGCTTCTTCTCTGGTCTTTATGTTTAGGAAAAGGTGTATAGCACAAATACAGTCAAACCTGTGTATAAGAATCTCTCAGAGGAATACATTAAAACAGTCGTTTATGGGCACGTGTCTGTGATATAGACATGCTTTTGTGGTATTACTGAAATTCAAGGCAAACACCAAGTTTCCTTTATAGACAGGTGTCTGTTCTATAGAAATGGTTTCACTGTTTAGCTGCCACTCAAGGAATCATCTTCCATAGTTCATTCTATAAATTAAATCAAGAGTACATAATGGGAGAAGAGTATGACAGTTTTAACAGCGTTTTGCATAGTTTTCAACTTGAATTTATTCTATCAATATCAATTTATTCACATATTGATAGAATAAATTCAAGTTGAAAACTACGCAAAACGCTGTTAAAACAGTGTCATACTCTTCTCCCATTATGTACTCTTGATTAAATGTGCCTTTCAATCAGCTTTGACTGTATATGCTATAATGTATTCTACTATTCATCTCTGATAACAATGCAATCAATGAGACCATCACCTTTTTTCTGTTACCATGTTACTAAAGAGAGAGAGAGAGAGAGAGAGAGAGATAGATATAGAGAGATAAATAGATAGAGAGAGAGGGGGAGAGAGGGGGAGAGAGCAAGCGAGAGGAGAGGAGAGGAGAGAGAGAGAGAGAGAGAGAGAAAAAAAGAGAGTAAGAGAGATGAGAAGAGAGAGTGAGTGAGAGTGAGAGTGAGAGTGAGAGTGAGAGTGAGAGTGAGAGATGAAGAGTGAGAGTGAAGAGTGGAAGTGAGAGTGAAGTGAGAGTGAGAGTGAGAGTGAGAGTGAGAGTGAGAGTGAGAGTGAGCGTGAGGTGAGTGAGAGAGAGAGAGAGAGCGACAGAGAGAGAGAGAGAGAGAGAGAGGAGGGATAGAGCAAAGAGAGAGCAAGCGAGAGAGAGAGAGAGAGAGAGAGAGAGTGAAGCGAGATAAGAGCGAGGTAAGGGAGAGAGAGAGTGCAAGGGTGAGCGAGAAGAGCGCGAGAGAGAGAGAGAATGCCAGTCACAACGAGAGTGACGATAGAGCGAAGTAAAACTAAAAGAGAGAGAGAGACCAATAGAGTGATGAGAAGAGAGAGAGAGAGAGAGAGAGAGAGAGAGGAAGAAGAGAGAGAGAGAGAGAGAGAGTGAATCGAAGAAAAGAGCGAGAGAGAGAGAGAGAGAGTGGCGAGAAGAGCGAAGAGAGAGAGAGAGAGAGGAGAGAGAAGAGAGAGAGAGAGCAGAGAGGGAGAGAAGAGAGAGAGAGAAACGCAAGATCAAACGAAGATGACTGAGAAGAGCGAGTAAAACTAAAGACGAGAGGAGAGTACAATGAGTGAATCGGGAGACATAAGAGAGAGAAGGAGAGCAGAGAGAAGAGAGAGAGAGAGAGAGAGAGAGACAGAGAGAGAGAGAGAGAGACGTGAACGAGAAAGACGAGAGAGAAGAGAAGAGAGAGTGGAGCCGAGAAATAGCGAGAGAGAGGAAGAGAGAGAGAGAGAGAGAGAGAGAGAGAGAGAGAGAGGAGAGGAGAGAGAGAGAACGCAAAGATCAAACGAGAGTGACTGAGAGAGCCGAGTAAAACTAAAAGAGAGAGAGAGAGACAATGAGAGTGATCGGGAGAAAGAGAGAGAGAGAAGAGAGAGAGAAGAGAGAGAGAGAGAGAAGAGAGAGAGAGAGGAGAGCAGAGACGAGAGAGGAGAGAGAAGAGAGAGAGAGAGAGACGAGAGAGACAGAGGAGAGGAGAGCAGAGGAGAAGAGGCAAGAGAGCAAGAGAGATGAGAGAGAAGATAGAGGAGAGGGAGCGAGAGAGGCACATGCGAGAGAGAGAGAGAGAGCGAGAGAGAGAGACAGTACAGACAGACGAGGAGAACAAAGAGTGAGGGAGAGAGAGCGCGAGGGCGAGAGAGAGAGAGAGACCAGAGAGAAGAGAAAGAGAAGAGACAGAGAGAGAGAGAGAAAGAGAGAGAGCAAGAAGAGCGAGAGAGAGAGAGAGAGAGAGAGAGAGAGAGAGAGCAGAGAGAGAGAGAGAGAGAGCGCCGATGCGGCGGAGAGAGAGAGAGCGAGAAGAGAGAGAGGAGAGAGAGAGAGAGAGAGAGAGAGAGAGGGCAAGAGAGCGAGAGAGAAGAAGGCGAAGACGCAGACAGAGAGAGAGGGAGAGAGAGAGAGAGAGAGAGAGAGAGAGAGAGAGAGAGAGAAGAGAGGAGAGAGAGGCGAGAGAAGAGAGAAGAGAGAGAGAAGAGAGAGAGAGAGACGAGAGAGAGAGGAGAGAGAGAGACGAGAGAGAGAGAGAGAGAGAGAGAGAGAGATCATTGTTCCTGCAAATCTATACTGTGTGGATATGTTCAAGAGCTAAGAATACATTATTATATATTGTATTATTACTAATGAATAATTATGGACTGGCATGATTATACATATAATAATAATAATTATTAGGCTCTTTATACTGTTGTATTTTAGGCATTGTTTCAGTTCAGTGACAAATCAACTGTAACAACTTGATGAGTCGTGTCCTAAGTGAAGCTACTGTAGCATCGCCATTCTGTCGTGACATTGCAATGCTGGAAAATACTAAAAAAAAAGAAAAAAAAAACTGCTGTGTGATCACTGGTCACGCACGCCTGCAGGCACTGTCGCTAAAGGTGGGGAATGAACAGAATATTTTCAATTTTTTTTATCACACACTTGCCACTTATTTGTTCCTACCATTTTCTAGCTGTATGATTGTTGACGTAATTATATCTCGGTTAGTAATGGTGTTGTCATCAGTCTATCTATAGCACGTTGTAGCAACGCATCAGGATAAGGCACTCCATTTTATTATGCAAATATTCGAGCAGTTAACTTTCCTAGTATTGTACTTAGTGCTAATGTTCGTTTGTGGCTAACCCTTAGATGGGTATAGACTAATACCAATGTAATGACTTATCCAGTGCTTTGAATATTAAATGTAATTTAAATCATTAGTATAAGTTTCAATAATGAGGCCGAAAATTTTTAAATGCTTGCAATTGATAGTCATTAGAATTATAGTTGGTACAGTCAGACCTCGCATCAACTGCATCAATATTTTTTAGAATGAATTATAATTAACAAACAATAATTATGAACTGATTTTTGGTTGTAGAGTAGAAGATTTAGATGGGCATATGACTACCAGTGCACAGAAGTGCAAATGTAAGAATATAATTTAGTCACACTCCCCTTCAAGATTGTCCCAATTGATGTATGATATAAATATATCATATCTGTTTTTATCAGTGGATGACCTGGCAGGTAGAGGCGTGATGCAGCAGTGAGTATGCTCATGGAGACAAAGATGCCATTGACCGGCTCGCAGCTTTGGTGAATCCTGAAAAAAGACTGACAAGATGGTGCAGCCATCATATCCAGGAACTTAAAGAATGCAAGAAATTACCGAAAGGTCCACAAGTGATAGGTAGCAATGTCAAGATACATTTTTGCAGAAGACCAATGGGAGATGAAGGAGTGAGTCCGTTAGTCTAATATAATCAACTGCTTGATATATGAATCATCGTACATAAAATTGTGAAGGCTTTATCACACAGGCGTATTTTTTTAGCAATGGTAAATATATTGGCAATTGCAAAGGTGTATAATGTTCCGAAAGTGGTTTTTTCTTACTGATTTTGTTATATGCTGCTTATAGTCTCAAGTAGAACCCCTGACTCCAAGCTACTATTTTGAATTCGCATGGAAAAACGGGGCGCACCATGAAA